CGACACCCATGAACTCCCCTACCCCCCCACAACTTACCTTGGACAGCGCCAGGGGCAGCAGGAACACCAAAGGGACACTCTGGCCAAACCAGAGCATCTCTTTTGGAGGACTGGCTCCGGGCACGGTCTTGAACCGCGCCTTGCTCCACTCTATTGCGGAGCGGTTTTTTTTTTTTGCAAGTTTGCAATGCAGGGAACATTTTTTCATTCCCACACGTGCCTGTTGCCCTGCCTTAAAGGGGTTTGAGGTGGGGCAACAGGCACGTGTCCACTCTTCTGGATGTGCCCATAGAGGCCAAAACAGGAGAGACTTTCATCTTAAACCAATTTCATCTTAAACACTGAATTATCTTCTCTCTCCTTTTATATCAAAAAACATTATTAATACTGACAAGTTATTTTTCCTTTTCAAAATCAAGACACTGTAATACCAGGGTATAGTTATTGCAGACATGTGGCCCATCCAGTTCATAAGGCTGTTTTTGACAGTGGTTAGCCTCAGGTGCTTCAGAAGAAGGTACAAGATATCCCATGGTATGCAGATGTGGGATAATCTATCCCATGAATGTCTCATCTAATCCCTAATAGTTAGACGTTGGTAGGAGTTGCGTTCCTGAAGCATGAGGTTTTATATCCCTTTCTAAAATTTTTGTTAGCCTATTACTAGTTGACCCATGAACAGCAAATTCTAGCCTAAATATATGTTGTTAAATATGGCTTGGCAGTTAAATGTAGAACTAACATATACCAATCAACCCCAAATCGAGGAATGGAGCAAGTTTTCACTAGGTATAACTGTGAACATTTCAGGTCCTCTCCAGTTCTTTCTATGGTTGTAACCAAGAAGAGAAAAGGGACATGAATAAAGGAGTTAACTTTTCTATAAGCCACCTAAAATTCTACTGAAGCTTGGATGAACATTTGGATTGGTTGTTACCTAGGAGTTTCAAGTCAGTACTTACTTTGCATATCATTGAGGTCTTGGCCCCGAGTCGAGCAGCTTGGACACACTGATTGGCTCCTTTCCCTCCAAAGCCAATGAAAAACTTATGTCCAATGACGGTTTCTCCTGGTTTTGGCAGACGAGTGGTACAACTATTACAATTTAAAAACAATATTTACTGACATTAGTAATCAATAAGGCAAAATTCTTCACAATAAGCACTATACTAATGCAATCCCAAATGGGTTCAACATTCAAGCCAGGGCTGAAACAAACAGCAGTGATACCTATGGTAGCCTTTCATTTCCTGAATTCCAAAAACTTAAAAGATTTGAGAGATCGACCCATTTCTGTACTCCATTTAGTGCTTATCCCCCATCAGACATTATCCAATTTTGTTTTACATTGCTATGCAGAGGGACAGGCTTTCTGTTCTATGGGTCTGTGTTTTTAAACAGAGCCTAACTAGCAAAGTGAGGTTCTCATCCACAGAGGGGGTTCAATACAAAGTAAAATGATATTACTAAAATCAACAAAACTGTTAGAATATTTTAACCTGACATTCATCTTAAATTTCCAGACTATTAATCTAATCTCAAACTGCATCACATTTTACTTCCTCAGAACACCCTTAGTAATTTTTCTCCCATCATGGCATTCAAAACTGTCAGAGAGGTATAAATCATAACATACCCCCTCCCTTCATCTGTCATTCAGATGCAATGTACACATTGAGCTTTTTAAATCTTCCGTTATAAATCAGACCTTGCGATTCCCTAATCATTTTTGTTGTGCTCTGAATATCCTCTAGTTACATTTACATCTTTCTGGGGATGGGTGCCCAGAACCGAGGGCACCTGTACAAGTGCAGACTCCTCAGAGTTGTATTCAAGAGAGTCTGGTTTAATTTTATTTTGCAAAGACTTCTATTTTGTTAACCCTATCAGATCTTTTCATGCAATGTCAAAAGAGAAGAAAAAAAATCTCCCTCCACAAACAACCTCTACTTTTGTGTAGAAAAATTCACCTGAAATGAAGGACTAGTCTCCTTTTGTTAATTGTATTATAAATAAATACAGTCTAGAGAGGCTCCATCTCTACAGGGAAAGGTTTGGTTAAATTACTACCCAAAGTTCTGCCTCTTTATGGCAATGAATTCCAAACACAAGATATAAAAATAGAACATCCTTTACCCTTCTCAACTACAAGAGACACACTCAGCACCTGTGGGGAAGGAGCATCTCCTGTCACACAACAGCAGCCCGTCTAGCTGACAGCACACTGGCCCTGACAGGCTCCAAACGATAGTCTAAAGCCTGATGGCAAAAATATTCTTAAAGAAGGGAAACTATGATGCAGGGAAAGGGGATTTCAGCACTTTTGCAAGAATGCAAAGAGCCCTTGCCAAAGAAGAATACCTGTGCCTCGATGTATAATTACAGAGCATTAAAAGATATTCAGCCGAGTAGATCTCACAGCTGGCTGGGACACTGGCTCACCCTCCAATCTGAAAAAAAGGTGACCTGTGAAGTGGTACAGATTTTGTACCAACAGCTCTTTCCTAAGTAGCTGTCGCAAAGGTCATGGAACCTACCCATTTTATGTTCTGAATTTATGTTGTACCTGCTATGGAAGTGATGTAGGGTCCCTGTTTCACTCCTGATACAATTACTTGGAGCAACTGGGCATGGTAGCATTCTATTCAGCGGGACGCAAAAAATACAGGGGCTGTCACTTGTGTCACTGTACACTGAGAGACCAGAAAGAGTCATGGATGCAACTACACTCTGAACCCCAACACAGATTTCCAAAGAGGTAGGGTGGAAAAAATGGGCTTAAGGGTGGAAGGGCTACAGCTATTTTAAGCAAAAAGATACTGATTAAAAAAAAAAAAAATATCACAGCATGCGTTATACCGAGTTGAAAAAGTCAGCATGTACAACCAATTACCACACAGTAGTATCTGACAGACTGCAGTGTTTCTCTGTACTTAGAAGAGGGACTAACGACAAGAAATCAAATATCGCTGTACAGCAAATGTGGGGAAATGCTGACTTTTAATGGCAACTGCTATAATTCATTGCAACATGCACTAATTTATGTCACTGGAACAATACCTCGCAGGGACCCAAAATATCGATGGCCGTGGAATGGAGCTTTGTCTGCATTTTGCAGCTTTCAGTGAGGCTCCCCTTCAGGTAGTATTATAGCTTCATTGTCTGCTGCCTTCTAAAACTACATGTCATTGGTAGCAAGCAGTCCTTTCACTCACCTTTGATAATAAATAATTATAATACCAGCACCTCACTCCTCTATGGATTTCACCAGTAGATCCCAGAGCACGTTATAGAAGGAAGGAAGCATCCTTATTTTACAGAATCAACTGCCTGAGAACTCCCAGCTGGCCAGCAGCAGAGGCAAGACAGGGGAACCCCAACCTCCTGAGTGGCAGCACAGTGTTTGGTTCACTAGTTCAGTGGTTTTTAACATTCTTGGACTTGAGGCACCCCTCCATAGCTTTTGTGAATTGAATGGCACCCAATCTCAAAATCGAATTTATATATTACAGTGCTCACCTACTTGCAGAGAAGCTGAACAGTGAGGGTGGGGAATGGTCCAGGCAGGGACAAACCCGAGCCTAGTTTATCTACTTATCTTGATATCTGTTATTTCCTCAAACCTCACTTAACTCCTCAAACCTTGCGGCACCCTTCAAAGGATCTGGAGGTACCCCAGGGTGCCCTGGCACCCTGGTTAAGAATCACTATGCTAGATCATGCTGCCCCACACCTGCTGATATTAGATAAAGAAAGTGTGCATCAAGTGCTGATTCCTCTGCTTTTCTGAACAGGCTTCCTGGAGATTGGGATTTATGCTAGACATAATTAGGCTCAACCAAAACCAACAACTTCACAGCAGAAGTCAGCTAGTAGCCTTTGTCTTTGAGTTCATGCACACTTTCCAAGAAGCAGATTCCCATGCATCTTCCAGATTTAATAGTGACTCTTGTCTCAGGCCATGACTATAAAAAGAGAGCTGCCGTAATATAGGAAGCCAACCTCAAAGCAAAAGCTTAAAAAGTAAGATTCACATAAGGTGGGCACAAACAAACAGTTGAACAAGGATGAGATTACACACCAGATTTTACCCAGAATTAAATTTCCCAAGTTAAGGGAGATTTGCCTTGGTTCAAGGAGTTGATTTATACAGCCACACCTTTTTTCTTCTTTGGGACTACTGGTGTTGTTCTTCTGGGATAGCCTACATATGTGTCCATGGCCTCAATCAGGCCTGTGCAAATACATACAGTTCCAAAGGAGGCAACTGAATTGTGCGACTATGAAACCAGGGTATGTAAGGTAAGAATCCAGGCCTCAGCACTGGAAGCAGCATGGAATAACAAGTGCCTGCAGGAAGCAAACAGCTTGCTGGAGATGAGAAGATAACGTCGATGAAAGTGTGCAGAGTGGAGATCAAAAATCAAGTTAGAACAGCAAATTACAATTAGGCAATTTTACAAACAGGCCAGAAGATTAGACAAAAATATTCAACAAGTTCTAAGCAATTCAATGTAAACAAAACAAAAAATCTCATTTTATTTTTAAAGGATTAGTGATCATTGAGAACAATCCCTCACTCTAAATTGTATTCTTATCCTGTGTATTAGATACATTCACAGCACTAATCTATAAATAGATCTGGAGGTTTCACTTTTACTGAAACAGGTATTCAATCAAAAGAAACATTGTTCTATTGTGATGCTATTATCCTGTCATTTAATTCTGCAATGATCAGTAATTACTGAATTTTGATTTGCATCAGGCAATTTCAACAAGCATTTCAGGCTTCTGTTATGAACAGGCAATGATGAGTAATCTGTATGATTAAGGAACCATATGAGTTCTTGGTTTATTGATAGTGCCACAAAGAATACTCATAATAGCCTAAAAGTGATTGAACAGCTAACGCTACTCAAAAACTAGGCTAAACAAGTGAATTAGAAAAACTGTCACACTGACTTTTGGAACTGTTACATAAAATGTTTTGTAAAGCCATTTACAACTTTGACGTAACTTGAAAACATTCAATTAGATAGCAAATTGGTTTGAATGGTAGACTGGGAACAGGCTACATCTCCAGCCTCTGGAGCAATTTCTGTTTAGCTCTGTCAAGAATACATACAAACCGCACACCAACTATGTAATGAAGTCTTGTGTGTCACAGATTATACAGACCTGCTTTGACATGTATTTTCTGTATTTATTAAATAGGAAATAAAATTATTACATATATAATATGTAACCGTGTTTCACAAATCTAATAATGGTATGACTTTATGTTTACAGAGCACATTTCATGCTGGAAGAGCCCCAAAGGCTTTAAAGCTACAAATAAAAGAACCAGTTCACTCATCACTGAGCCTATTCTTGGCTAAGAAACTGGAGGTGTTTAATAATGCAGAGCAACAAAACACACTTTTGGAGACAAGGCAAAGAATATCCGTATCCAATTGGAACTCTAGGATTAAGCAGAATAAAAGTGTACCCAGTGGAATGTAGCCAGTGCAAGGGCTCCAACTCTCTTTTCTACTACGTAAAGTGCCATGAGATTTAAATCGGCTGGCATTTTTTTTCAGATAAAATATCTGATGAAAAATAGCACAGCAAACATTAACAGAGCCCCCTAATACCTTGCTGGGGCACTGGTTCAATACTGACTCAGAGAGGAAAGTGCTACCTCTTCAGTCATGTTGTTTTCCACAGTATTCTGGATTTTCTTTGAAGATCTCCTTTCCAAGAAGCAGTGAGATCATTGCGAGAGACGGAAGGAGAAAGTGGGGGAAAATGTATATTTGCAGTGTTTGCATAAACCATTTTTTTAAATTAATCAAGCTGCACAATTTTTACTTCCAAATAAAGCTGGAAGATTAATTAGCTAATGTGTGTTTAGTGCTTTCAACACGCAAGTGCTATCCATTAAGTATTATTAAATAAATTAGTACAGTACACAGCTTTTCAGTTGTGCTGAGGAAAAAATCCCTGTTGAATAGCAATACTTTTTTGAAAAACGACTAACTTGTTTGTATGTTTGAGAGGGAAA